GGATTTGGATGCTGCTGCTGCTGCTGCGTCTGCTGTTGCTGCTGCTGCTGCAGCTGCTGTTGCATGAGCAGCTGATGCGGATGCGTTGCGGGCGCTATGCCCAACGCCGTGGCCGTCAATTGAGCCAGTGCATCCTGTCCGGCCGTGGGCCTCATGGCCGCCATGGCCATTTGCAGCTGCTGTGTGACCTTGGGTCCACGCAGGCCGCCCAGCGGCATCACAGCAGCTGTGAGCGCGTTCACCCTAGCCGCGGCCATCAGCTGCATCTGCTGCTTCATTAGCTCCTCCGCATAGAGCTGCGACTTGCGCAGAAACTCCTCCTGGAAGCTGGCCGGCGCAGGCATGGGATGGGCAGCATCCTCGGCGGCTGGCGCATGAGGATTCACATTGTTGGCCACGCTGCTGAAGGCCGACGGGCGATAGAGCTGGCTCATAAGCAGGCGCTGCCTGGCCTGGGCCGCTGCCACCTGGGATTGCTCCTGGCCCACGCTGAGGACGCTGTTCTCGCTGCAGCAACTGGCCGCATCATCCAGCTCCTCATCGTCATCGTCATTGGGCTCCTCCTGGTCATCCAAAATATTCACCATATGCTCATCGCAGGCTGAGCCTTCGTCCTCGTCCCCATCGTCCGGTTTCTGCAGCTGCGGACTGCTGCCGTGGCCACCAGCTGCACCTAGGGGCAGTGGCAGGGGCAGGCAATCGGGATGCATTGCAGCAGGCACAGCTTCTTGATCCTGATGCTGATGCTGATTCTCGTTGCTGCGTTTCAGTGTCARATTCAGCGTCGGATGGCGGCTGCTGGCCAGCGTGGACATAAGTGTAGCCAGTGTTCGATGGCAGTTCACTGCGTCAGACGTGCGCCTAGCCCAGGGTTAGAGGCTGCAAAGCCGTCGGCATTTTGATGTTGCGCTATTTACAATTCACAATTAGTTCACACGCACACACACACTCGCACACAGTCGGTGTGATATGCACACACGGGCAAACACACACACACAAGCACTTTCGTTTCGTTAGGTCGTCTCGCCGCTAGATGGCGCTCACGCACGTCTGGCATTCAATATTCAACATAGTACTATTCAACGTTCGAAAAAACAATAAAAACTCTCGCCCGGTTTCCGTTACGTGCGCTCTGCCAGTCAGCTGAACCAACTGAAGCTCCCGCGAACTTGCAACTAAACGAGACGGCAAAAATGAGCAAGAGCGAGCAGTCGCCAGTCAGGCCACAGGCCCAAAACCGGAACGGCAATAAGAACAAAACATATACTCACACACACACACACACTGAGCGCAGATACTGCTCTCGTGCGCTCTCTTTTCCACCGCTCTCTCGCACAATTCGAACATCCAATGAACGGCGAGCTGCGCAAGCTGCCGACTGACTTTGTATGTGTGTGTGTGCACGAGGGTGTGGGGTAAATGTTACACTAGCGTTGTCTCGCTCAGACAACGCTCTGCCTGGCCTGACCGACCGCCTGTCAGTTGAGGTTATGTTAAGTGTTTGTATATTTGTTAATTAAGTGCACTGCCAGCGTCGCTGCTTTTTCCAGCTCCTGCTGCCGCTGTCGCTGCTCCTACTGCTGCTGTTGGTCCTATTCCTGCGGATGCTTCGATACCAGCTTCATCTCCGCTTGTCTTTTTGATTATGCGCTGCAGCATTTAAGTCGTAAATCTCCAACGTACATAAGTTTCTTGCTTGTGGCTGCGCATCTGCAGTCCTTTTAGTGGCATACTCCATCCTCTTTTTGCACACATCTACAAATGCCTGTGCGTCTGTGTGTTTGCTTTTGTGTATGTGTAACACATGCCACATGCTTTGCCTCCATTTGCTTCCATTCTTCGTTTTTCTTCTCTTTTAATAAAAGACAACAAAAATGTTGCGCTTTTTGATGTCATTGTTGTTGCTGTTGTTGTAGCTGTAGCTATAGCTGTAGCTGTTTTTAGCCCTGCGCTTTATAAATCACCACCACAATTTTGTTTCCAACATCTGCTGTGATTTCATAATTGTTTTTGATGCCTTTTTTGCTTCACACATCGACCGTTGATGATAGTTATACACAAATACTCATGCATGTATCTGTGTGTATGTGAGCTTGTCTAATTGGGCTCTAGTACATACAATTCATACATACATATTCACACACATACTTACAGTCAATGACTCTCTTCGCCTTCATTGAGGTTATGTTGAAATGTACTGTTGAAAAGCCTTTAGAATTACTTTGATTATTTTCTTACACATACACACACTCATAGACATACGCAACTAATTAATAAGCTAAATTTATCTTATCTGCATTCATCTTTCAAAATGGKCCATTAAAATGTTGCTCTTAGCTCTTTAGACAACATCCGTTGGCCATAAAATAGAAATTCCAGTGTTGTTTTTTCCTCTTTCTCAATTTTTTTTTTTCTTTTCTTATTTACTTTATCGCCGAAGTTGCTTTGCCGCCGTCCATCGAAAGCTGTCCACGGTTTATTATCTGGCCGGGCCGACTGCCACGCCCCAATTGCACACCCAATCCAGTTTAATAACTTTGTTGCCCCGATCCGAGTCGCTCACAGTCGAACGCAGGTCGCGGCCCCCGGTCTGGGGCCCCAGATGCCGACGCGTCGATAACGCAACCAACAAATTAATCAAGCTTAATTTCAGTCAGAGCGACAGAAAGAGAGAGAGAGTGCGAGAGCAAAGGCAAGCAACAATTATACGGCGATTAAAAGAAAGATGAAGAAAAAGCGAATAAAATAAAACCAAAACAAACAAACAGTTGAGAAACCCTAGACACGAATTATGAATAACATTAAACGCAATTGCTCAAATGTCTGCACAATGCGAAATTCAACCGTTCGCCATTAGGCGCTCTCACCCCGTACCAGCGCTGCCCCGCTCCAGCTCGTTCCAGCTCGTTCCGACGTTCCATGAAAAGAGACATGATTAAACTTGCGCACGAAACGCTTTTCACATAAAAGAGGCCGCGTAGAGCGCGCGCGTAAGGCGATCTTTGCCAGTTAATCGCGCAGAAAATCTTCATCAGAAATGGACGGCAGCAGCAGCGGCAGTGGCGGCAGAATCGGCAGCAGCAAAAAGTAAAGTTACTCAAACTAAAATAAATACAATCAAAACATGAAGCGTACAACGCAAGCAATAAGTAACAACAACAACAACAACAACAACAACAACAACGGCAACCTAAAGACCCAAAGCAAAAGCAAGAAAGCAAAAAAAAAACAAGTAATAAAAGCGCACCGGCAAAACATTACAAGAGAATCGCGGCAGTCGCTGCCGACTGTCGACTGCGCAGTCGCAGCAACAAATAGCATAATCGCACAGTCGCGACGGGCTCCCCACACAATTTAGATGCGCCCCGATAGATAAACTTAAAGAGGCTTTTATTTAAACAAAGCGCAGCGCAGCGCAGTCACCGACTCGGAGTCTGCTGAGGCTGCGAAGCAAACAGTGCGAAAGACACAGCAAGAGAGTGAGAGAGAGAGCGGGAGAGCGAGAGCCGCTGTCGGCGCTGACGCGCAAAAATGTATGTTGCTTACAAACGAGCAACATAAGAGAAGAGAAGAGCAACAACAAGCCAGACTTCTGCCTGGCTGCCTGGCTGCTGCCTGCATGTCTGCCCTCTCGCTCGCACTCACTACAGCTGGCTCGTTAGGCAGCCGCTCATTGTCAATCTTATTGGAATTGCATTTTTTTTCTGCTGCTGCTGCTGCTGCCAGTCTTCTCGTTTCGGCTGATCTTTTAATCGAATCGTAGCATTTATTGTTSCGATTGTCGCGATTGTTTACGTTGTTGTTTGTCTAATGCCGTTTAGCAAACAATGGACATGACTGTGTCATAAGTCAGAGCACAAAATGGCTGCAACTGTTGCGCAAATTAATAATTTGTGTCGGCATTGCGCAATCTTATTGGAGYACTCCCCTTACCCCGTTGCTTCGCTTTGCTTTGCTTTACTTTGCTTTGCTTTGCTTTGATTTCTTGTCATGGGGCATTTGTCTCAATTTATGTTTGCCTTGCCCATTGACAAGCAAACATCCAAATATGCTTATACATATATTGCTATTTGAATAACAAATACACACGCACACACTCGCACGCACAAACATGGCCGCTCTAATTGGAATTAACACATGATAATGAACAGCCGTTGATTGCCCTCCAATTCGACCAACACGAATTCAGCCCAAAGGCAAAATCAATAAAARCCCATGTGAAAATGTAATTGACAGCTAAACGATTTTCCACTTGCCATACAAATGGCTTCCAATTAGATGGGCAGGCGTATCTGCTATCTAATTGGAGTGTGTTACAAGCAATTATAAACAAAACCCAAATGGAATTGGAATTTGTAATTTTCGAGTTCACTTTTAATGGGCGGTTTTGTTTATAAATTTTAGATGAACAAAAATGGAGGGAATTAGGTAATTGTTTGTTTAAAGAGTGAGCGAATTGAACTGGAAAGGAAGTAATTTAATTGGAAATTATGCAATCATGAATAATAATATATGATTTAGATTTATGCTTATATATTTTATTGTATATTAAATTATATATAATGTAGCATTAATTTTGGAAATTTCTGCCATGAATTATACCATTTTAAATCCACAAATTAATTTTTTAATATTTCTACATTAATAATAGATAGATTTTTTTATAATGGTTCTAGTTTTGAGTTAGCAGTAGCTCGAGCTTAAACCCAAGTCAACAATACCTTTCACTTTCTAATTCAATTTAGATTAATCTTAACAAATATCTTTTCTGCTTCGGGCAATTTATTATATCGGAGAGTCAATTAGTAGCATTTGTTTCACTCTAAACTTTTATTGATCTATTGAACAACATTAATCTAGAAATAACTCTGTATATAACTGATTTAAGATAAGATGAAATTCAAGCTAGATGCCATTTATCTTACTAAGACTTTGTATTTCGGTTAATTGAATTAATTTAAATTAGATTAAGATTAATCAAAATTAAATTTTTATCAATAATTGGATATTTTGAAGAAATAAACTGGAATTTAAAAATATAAATAAATATATGTATATAAACTTGGCTTTGGCTTTATTTTTAGTTAATAAGTAAATGTGCATTTAAATCTATATATCCAATTAATATTTTCCAATCACAAATCCAAACCTTTCGCTCTATAATCTCCATTTGTTTAATATCACAGTTTTGGGATCACAATATACAAGTACAAGTTTTTTCCAAGGGGTATCAATCCAATCAGAATACAGCACGGTCTAATAAGCGTCATACATGATAATCCAATAAGCAGTGTACTAACTTGTTAGCTCCGGCAAATATCATATTTATTCATACAATGAATAAACAAAGTAACAATGCAAAATCTCTTATGAAATTATTTGCGTAGCAAATTACGCACTCGGATCATTGTCAACAATCCTATTGGTGCGAGTGAACCTGAAAAGCTGTTCAACGGTCGATGGTAATTATAGTGCTTAAATGAAGGCAGGCCACAAATGAAGGGAAATTAAAATGCGAAATGCGAAATACGGAATGCGAAAATGCATTCATTCTGCGACTCCATTCAGTTTACATTCAATCAACAGCCGCAATCATCTGTCATTAGTTGCAATTGGCGCTCCGCCTTAACGATCAGCCAAGCGCTCCATTTCCATTTGCCAACTGTTACACACACACATACACATATACATACATACATTTGCATAGGTGGCGCAGGGGCAATAAAAGAAACGTAAGGCAAGAAAACAAACGCGACATTTGAACCAGACAGACAATCACCTAATTACATACACACATACAAGTTCGTCCAACTCAACCCAGGCACAGCTCCGGCCCCAGCCCAACCGAATCCAACTCGAACAGAAAAGCGCACCACAACCTCAAGCCGTGGGTAAGGGTAATTGCAAGGCGATGGCCTGTCATCAGTTGCCTTTAGCATTTGTTGGGACGACGTGCGAGCGAAACATCTAAGCAAATAGCATTAAATAAAAGGTTAATAAATAGCACGGAACAGAGGCAACAGCAGCAGCAGCAGCAGCAGCAACAGCAGCAATCGTAACGGTGTCTCCACAGTTGAGTGAGAGAGCGCGAGCGAGTGAGAGAGCGCGCGCAAAGAGAGGCAAATACAATATGGCCGACAAGGCAAAGCGAAAGCGCTGACAGCGCAGCGCCGTGGCAGAGGCC